ACTGGAGGATTGTGGGAGGAACATTCCAGCCCCTGATGGGGGTTCTGTGGGGCACCCCAAAACACATAGTAGGTCTCTCAGCCTCTTTCAGGACTGGGGCTGTGCAGCCCTGTTCTGATCAGGAGGTGCAGCCAGGGGGTGGTGGTGTCACCATGCCTTTTGGGGGATAGGGCACAGAAAGGGGAAGAATTTTCAGGGGCCATTCCTACTTATACCTGGCAGGGGAGATACCATTATTGTAAAAGTGGTTTTCCCAGGGTAAGGCTCATCTATTGCACTTTGGATGTGCTGACCCCTATGATTTCCCCAAATGTGGGAAAATCAACTGCCTAAAAGGGGAACTGTGTTTGTGGTTTCTCCTGGTTTTTCTAGAATCACTCTTTTTTTTTCCTTTTGGTCCTTGCCTATTCTCATTGCCTACTGCTATTGGCCTTGCTGGTTTTCCAGGTAGGCTGCAGGAAGCAGATCCTGGAAAGCCAGCAGTGCAGAATGGTGAGGTCCAAACAACACGCAGTCTCTGGTGCCAGTGCAGAGGCCTCCCAGCTTGGCAGTGGGAGGCTTCTGGGTGGTGGTGTCTGAACCCTTTTTTTACTGTATTTACTCCATAAGACGCACATACTTTCTCCCCCACTATTGGGGGGGGGGGGGGCATCTTATGGAGCGAAAAATACAGTAATTCAGATGAAAGGTATACCTCAGTTTGGGTACCAGCACAGAAAATATTCTTTTCTGTAATGACAGAGCCTAAATTTGGAAGGCATCCAAAGAAGAGTTTTTAACAAAGATCTTAACAGTTGAGATGTCTTATTCTTGATGTTTATTAGCATTGTGCAAAACAAAATAAGAAAAAAAGAATACATGGCCCTTCAGATGTTACTGGACAGCAGCTTCTTTCAGCCATAGTTAGTTTATCCTCGGTGAGAGATGATGGGAATGACAGTCCAGCACCATCTCTTAATCAGTTTTACTTTTCAGCTGAAATCTCTCAAAGTAGCTTGCATAAGACAGTTGCAAGCAATATAGTTTTTGTCTACAAGCTGCAGTATAAAAACAGGCATGGAGAGGAAAGGACAAAATTGTGCGCCAGTTCTTGCTAATGTTACTCTATTGTAGTGATAGAATGGATAAGCAGCACTGACTCACACAGCATGAAGCAAATCATATGGTACAAGAAATAGTATTCTCAGGTCTTTTGAACACAATACAGTGGTGCCTCGCTTAACGGGCGCCCCGTTTAACGACGAAATCGCATAGTGATTAACTTTTTGTGATCGCTCTTGCGATCGCTTTACGATGTTTCCTATGGGGAAAAATCGCTTTGCGATGATCGGTACCCTGTTTCATTTACCAATCATCGCAAAGCGATGATTTTTTAACAGCTGATTGGCGGTTCCAAAATAGCCGCCGGGTAAAAAAAGGGCTGCCCGCTGTTTTCTGGGCCGGATTCCTCGCTTACCAGGCAGCGAAAATGGCCGCCGTACGGAGGATTTTCGCTTAAACGTGAGTCTGAAGCACATAGGAACGCATTGAAAGGGTTTCAGTGCATTCCTATGAGCTTTTAAATATCACATAGCGACGAAATCGCTTTGCAGAGGTTTTTGCTGCACTGATTATCGTCGCTATGCGAGGCACCACTGTATTAGGGTAAATAGTTTAGCTAGCATAAAGATTGGCATTCTGATCTGAAGAAGCTGTTTGCTTATGTGATTTATTCAACAGAAGAATGGGAATCTGCTTTTGAAAACTACTTTCCACATAGCAGTTTGTGCTGTTGAACTCTTCAGCCTGACATGATCCTATGTGACTGGGATATTCAGTTGCCTTTCTTGGGCATACTCTCACAGATGCATCATGTACCAGTAGTAGGGTTATTCAGGGTCAGGTTGAAGGTACTAACTATTAATACCCCAGAAGCCTCGTGGCGCAGTGGTTAAAACGCTGTACTGCAGCTAAAACTGTGCTCACGACCTGGGGTTCAAATCCCAGGTAGCCGGCTCAAGGTTGACTCAGCCTTCCATCCTTCCGAGGTTGGTAAAATGAGTACCCAGCTTGCTGGGGGGGCAATGTGTAGCCTGTATAATTAAATTGTAAACCGCCCGGAGAGTGCTTGTAGTACTATGGGGCGGTATATAAGTCCAAAAAAACCCCCAAAAAAACACATGACAACTGTTCTATATTCTGTAAAATTGTGTTCCAATTACTTTATAAAGTTTCTTTGTCTTTGATAAACTCTTTAATTTCTCTTCTCAGCGTACTTGTGTTGTTTAATGTACCCTCTAGAGAGATTTCTTTGAGATTTAAATATTTTTGCTAATTCAAATGTTGTCTCCTGATACTCATAGTTTACGTGAAAACAGATTATTTGGAAAGTTCTGAACAAAAGTCCCGTATTTTTCCATGTATAGGACACCCCATGTATAAGGAACACCCCCCTTTTCTAACCCAAAATTTCTTTCTTTGCAAGAAAGTGAAGGGGAAAGACAGGGATCAAAGCACTTTGATCCCTGCCTTCCCCCTCCACTTTCTTTGCAAAAAGCTGCTTTCCCCCTCCACATTTTGCAAAGAAAGTGGAGGTAGAAAGCACTTTCCTTGCAAGAAAGTGGAGGGGGAAAGCTTTCTTGGGAGGAAAGTGCTTTCCCCCTCCACTTTCTTTGCCGAAAGTGGAGGGGGAAATCAGGGATCAAAGTGCTTTGATCCCTCTTTCCCCCCCCCCACTACCATGTATAAAACCACCCTCAATTTTTCCTCTAATTATTTTAGGAAAAAGTGTCATTTTATACACGAAAAAAATACAGTACCATAAAAGTAAATCTTGATATACAAATCTAGTTGAGTCACCTAAGTCTACTTTCTGCTTTCAAGGCTGAGTTGCATATGGGAAAATTGTTAGGGTTTTTTTTTTGTACTTTATGAAAATAATTATATGATAACAATTTTTTTACATAGTATCATGGAAGCATTCTGCTTGAGAACAAATTGCAGTTCAGTATTAATGAACTGCATGTAGCTTTTGAAAAAAATGTGCATAGTACATATTTTCATTACATTAGAATTTTTTTGTGCATGCAACCACCTTGTGGCTCACCAGGGCAAGTCTGCCATTGGCTTGTGTTAATCCAACCTTTCTTCTAGTATTGAATTTATGGAAGTGAGTGGAGAGTGTCCTGCTTCCTTCCCAACATCATGCCTTATGGAGAAGTCTCAGGGGCATTTGGCCAGAGCAGTTTGGTTTTCAGTTCCAGACAGAGAACTGGGGATGTAAGTGGTGCAGTGTGGGAAAAGGGGAAGGGGCAGGATTCTGGCAGCCACAATTTTTGGTTTTTCAGCAAAGTTTACACCAGGATCAAGGAGCCCTAAATTCATAGGAATAAGAAATGCTCTGGTTTTGGTTCTTTACTTGCAGATCTTTGTAAAATCAAAGTTCTGCTGGGCAAATCCCCATCTAATTAATCTTTTATGAAAGCTAGTTATCTTATGTAAGTGCAGTTCAGCTTCCCAAATTCATAAAAAAAATCGTAAGATGTGCATGCCAAGTTTCTAAGAATGGAGTAGTTGCAGTTATATATCTTGATTGTGATGATTTTATCATGCATAGACTAGGAGGAGATACATAGATTGATAATTATGTGTCATCAAGTCATTTCAGAGTTATGATGACCCTTTTTGGTCAGAAGTAGTTTTCCAGTCCCCTCTTCTGCTGACTCTCTGGGACCGTGCATCTTGGCTGAGCTTGTGCAGGTAGCAGGACCTATAATCCCACCTCTCTGATCTTGGCTGGCCCCTCTCCCAGGAGGCACAGTACGGATTCAAACTCCTGGTCCCTGACTCTGCAAGTAGCCCCCCCAACCCCCTGCTAATTATTTAATCTCAAGAGATTTAATGGACAAGAGTTATAATCGCATTAGAACTATTTTTCAGTTTTCCGCTTGTTGAACTCTGAAATGTCTGAGGCTCATTTTTCACACTGGCTTTCATTCAGGTTTGCTCATTAAAATACATTGGTGTAAGACTACGTATGCACAGAATCAGTTCTTTTTTGTTAGAATAGTAAAACTTTATCCAGAATGCTAACGTTTTGCCTACTTTCTGTGTGTAATGTATTTCATTGTCAGACATAACAATTTATCCTGTCTCCTCCTTGAATTTATAAAATTGAGAATTCTTTGTGTTTTAAAATGATATAGAAAAACACTCTACCTGTTATCCACCTTTTATTTAAAAAACATCTGTGCTACTTAACTTCTGATGCAGTTAACCCTGATGCAGTAATTGGTTCTTATTAAGGGGATTCTATTTCCGTGGATGATTGCCTTCTTTGATAATGGAGAATTGTTTTGTATGTATGGTACGTAATACCTTCTGTTGAAACAAATAGAAATGGATTCTAATGCAAAACATTTGGCCAGAGGTTGTGGAAGGGAGTAAATCAAGCAAATCTCCAGACAGCTTAATTGCCTTTTGTCTTGATTTTGAACAATGTGTATTTTATTAGTCAGTTGTGTAGGAAAACTTGGTATTAATTTCTAATAAATTAATATTTTTTATTTTCACAGAATTTATCTTTTGCCTTCTATATATGCTTTTCCAGTCTACTGTTTCATTGAACTGTCAAACTTTGTGACAAAACTTGTACACTGAGTATGGGAGCTCTGTATCAAAATTATATTAGTCTGTGTTTATTTTCTTCACTAATTTATCTTATAGAGAATTGAGGTACTAAACGTGTGTGAACACTTTTCCTATTAAGTTTGCTGAATGAATCCAAAGGGATGTTTTTAATTTTCAAAAGTGTTTAAAAACAAGTGATGGCTTTTATTTCCTAGTGTGACTGTGAAATACTATGGAAAAGCTTCTCATGCTGCTGCTTACCCTTGGGAAGGAGTAAATGCATTAGATGCTGCTGTTCTTGCATACAACAATCTGTCAGTTTTAAGGCAGCAAATGAAACCAACATGGAGAGTTCATGGTGAGATCTTCCTTAAATCTTAATGTCCAGCAAGTAGTACTTCAGACACTGTTTAAACAAATATGTGCTATTGGCATGTTAACATTAAAATGCAAGTGGCTATTTGTGTATTTCTTTTTTCGGAATACTGAAATACAAAGCTGATAAGAACTACACAACTTTGTTGAGGATTTGTTAATACGAGAAGTAGATAAAGTCTTGAGACTGTTTATGTGGAAAATGATTGCTGTTGAATTCAATAGCTGGAATTCTGTTACTTATTAATCACCAGCAAAAGTCTGACAATGTAAATCTCAGCAATGAACTGCTGCCAGTTAATTAGTCAGAGCTTTTATTTCTAGCTGCACACTAGGTCATGCACCCAGTTTAGTGCCAAGAAGTACAACAGTTCAGTACAGAGATTTACATTTGACCTGTGCCAACAGGCCTAAGTAATGTCTGGCCATTGTTTGTTACTACAACATGTGTTTATATAAGTCAGGGGTGGGCTTCTGTGGCCTCCAGGTATTTTTGGCCCACAGTTCCCATCAAGCCTAGCCAGTATAGTTAGTGATGTGGGATTATGGGAGTTGCTGTCCAAAAGCATCTGCACAGCCAAAGTTGTTCACTCTTGATGTATGGAGATGGTAAACAGCCACATTTCTCTTCCTACAGCCTCACCAAGTTTGCCAATTTTTTTTGCTTCTGAGCTGTCAGTCGGACTAATTGTTTCTATTTTACACTTCATAGATTTTTCTTAGGCATACATGTCCCCCCCACACACACACACATATTCTGTTGTCAGGCTGGAGTATAAGCTGTGAATTTTGTGTGCTCTTTAAAAGCAAAATATGCTTCTTATATGCCATCCCATAGTGCTTATAGCATTCTCTGGGTGGTTTACAATTTAATTATGCAGCCTACACATTTCCCCCCCCCTCCCTTGCAAGCTGGGTACTCAATTTACTGACCTCAGAAGGATGGAAGCCTGAGCCACTATCTGATTCCACTGGGATCAAATGCAGAGTTTTGCTTGTCATACTGCAGTTTAACCACTGCACCACAGGGCTCGCTTGAGTATGTGAATAATTAGAAGAAATTTGTGTCAAGGCACTCAGGAGCATGGAAACCAACAGTTTACCAGCTGTACACTTCAAGCGATAAACACATTTAGTAGATTCTCAGTATAGATAATGATTCCATAATTGACTTTGCCCCCTTAATGTTAGGCATTCTAACATGTACAGATATAACTGTAGAAAAAATTAGGTTTTCAAAAATATGTAGAAGTTAAAAATAATTTATAAGTACTTATTTTGAAACAATTATTTCAAATATGATTGGCAGAATTAATGCTCAAATTTGGCTTAAATGCAGCAGTTGAATAACAGCCTCAAAATACCGGTTTCCTGTTTAACTTTCTGAAGGACAGATGTTTTTAAATTGTGGTAAAACTGACAGTGGGCCCTCTTGTGGAAAAAAGTGGGGTATAAATGTTTTAACTAAATAAGTAAATATCTCACTTTATGTAGTAGATAAATAAACTCTTCCACAGTTCTGAGTGTTCAATTAACAGTATACAGCACTTTTTCAAATTAAATTGTTGAAGCCATTGTTATCTTATTAAAGTAACAGATTGAAATGTTTGATTTTGTGTGATTATTTCCTGATGTTTTCCTTTTTAGGATTTTGTGTTTTATAGAATAATAATTAATAATGTGCTGTGAAGTCGATTCCGACTTATGGTGGTCCTTTCTGGGGTTTTCTAGGTACAGAGTACTCAGAAGTAGTTTACCGTTCCTTTCTGCTGAGGGCGCTCTCGGACTGTGCAGCTTGCCCAAGGCTACACAGGCTGGCTGTTCTCCCGGGAGGCACCGTGGAGAATCAAACTCGTGATTTCTGGCTCTGCAGCCAGGTATCAAATTCACAAAGCTATCCAGCCAGCTATATATAGTGACCAAGATATTTGTTTGATTTGTAATGGAAGGGAGCTAATATATATTAGCTAATCGACTAACAGTCATCTTCTGAACTGTGCATCAGGATGTTAGCCTGGACACTGCGTAAAAGGATTTTAATACTCTTTTAATCAAATAATTATCTCATTTTGAGACAGTAGTTCAAGGATTTTTAGTGTTGTTTCTATTATTATTATTCGGAGGATTTCTATGGTATTTCACATTTTCTCTGCAATCTACATTTGAACCCATAAGCAAGTTCAAACATGTTTATGCGTAATCTGGCCTTTCTCGCCAGATTGCTCATAAACATGTTCAAACCCACCCATAAGATCAAAACATATATTGCAGAAAAATATGACATGTCACAGAAATCCTTTCCCTAATTATTACTATTAATTTATTTCCTTCTATCCAATTTCTAACTTGTGAAAATTTTCCTATTTTCCTACAGCTATAGAAATAGCTGCATTAGGGTGCAATCCTAACTCGGCAAGATGGCTAAGGACTGTCTGAACTGACATTAAAGCCGGCTGAGGCTGTGCTGAATCCAAACTTTTCCCAGTCTGGGTATGTTGGGTGCCTTGACTTTGCACCACCATTGTGGCTGTGAGTGAGAGCGGAGAGGTGGGTGGATCGGGCATAACACAGCTCCTCCCCCATTCTTTCCCTTCTCTCCCCCCCCTTTTTTTTGGTTCTTCTGCCTGCTGATCTCAACAGAGCAGTGATGCACACCAGGCAGTTTTGCTGGCACAAGAGGCTTCGGCTCATTCCAAAGCCTGGTGGTCTGTTGTAGCAAAAACTTTGAAGAGCCTCGTGATACCCTAAAAATTAACAATTTGGCATGATTTTTGTCATCTGTAGTCCACTTCATTAGAAGCTATTCAGAATTTAGAGTAAATACAAAGCACTCATGGTGAGGAATGAGATTGTAGATGGTGAGTCAGGGGGCTGCCCGCTCTGGCAGAGTTTCTTTTAAATGCTGGAAGTGATACGTGATTGGGATAGCAAATGTTGTGACTTAGATTGGCCAGAGACACTTTATTGATTTGTTTTTATTCTGCTGTTTTGCTAGGCAGGGTAGCTTTGTTCATCGTATTAACCTCTTGATGACTATTTAGCCTCTCATATAGTTTACATACTGTACTGTGGACATATGAGACAGTCTGCCAGATTTCAGAATTTTGCTCCAAAAGCTGGTGTTTACATAATTATTTTGAAGCACCAATCTCACTGATTGCAGGGGTATTAACATTCTGCCAAAGTCCTACTTTATTTTTGTTCAGGCAGAGGTTTTTGTGAAAGGTTGAGGAGAACCCAGATGAGCAGTTTCAAAATGAACCTAGAGCTGCATCCTTTATCCCTTCAGATGGTCTTGCATTAATCGCTAATGTACTTGAACTGTTGTTTATTAATACAAACAATGTATACATTATTTGTATTAATAATGTAATCAAATAAGGCATTTGCTTTTCTGTATCTTCAGTGGTCTGAAACCTTTTTGTACCACTTATTCTGCTCATTTTCACATGCCCTTTTGTAAGAAATTACTTATGAAAATTGGAAGAACAATTTGGAAGAAAATCATGTGCCAATGTTACTACTAGAGTCGATATAGATTAGAAAACATGATTTAATACCTTCTCCTAAAACCTGAAGTCTGAGGTTTCAAAATACGAATATTCCTTACCCGCCCTTCTCTTCGTCAGCAAGGTCCTCAGTAACAACTAGTTTAGCACTGTCCCATTGTGTAATAATTAAGTCTGATATAAGCATTTTTGAAATGGTTCAATTTTAATCCTCGTTTGAGGCTCCAAGAGTTAGGATGTGAGGAGGGTGGGTTTCCTATGGTTTGGGTTTTTCTCTTGTATTTAATTTCATTGTTACTCTTCTCTGATTGCTTAATTCCACCTTTCCAGTACAAGTTAGGTGTTTGTAGCTTGAGAGCTAGCAGATAAGTAACAGAGCAGTAGGAATACAGATCTAACTTCATAATTTTTTAATAGGGATGAACTAAAATTTTCAGGTACACAGGCCTGTTTCTCTAAAGAAAGCAAGGAAATCTTCAAACCATGTTTTCATTGATCTGCTGAAAAATGAAAAACACGATGGAAAGCATAAAGTAGTATGCATTTTCTCTGTAGCTATTTTCCCAGAAGCCTTAGAAAACAGTGTAACAGATATTAATGTCAATAATATTCTTCTCTCTTTTAGGTATAATAAAGAATGGAGGTGTGAAACCTAATATCATCCCTTCATATGCTGAATTAGAATTTTATTTGCGTGCTCCTTCATTAAGGGAACTTTCTCTCTTGACAGAAAAGGTTGAGAATTGTTTTAAAGCTGCAGCTCTGGCCACAGGATGTGAAGTAAGGGTCTTCAAAAATTTGATCAAGATTTTTTTTAAAAAAATCATAGTGTGAGTTGTCTCAAACAATTTTAAATGGTGGAATACATCTTGGCTTGACTGCCTAGCTGAAAGATTTGGCCTCAGAGAATAACTTGATTTCCTTGTGTAATTTTCCACATACAGTTGTAATTATGAGCTGATGAAATTCTAGTCAGTGTTGAATTTCTGTCTCTGTATGGTTGTCACTTTGAACATAACTGGATGCCATTCTATAGCTATTTTAATAAATTAATTGCCTCATCTTTACAAAACAAACATAATTATCATGATGCCAACTCATATGTCTAAGTGAGTGCCAAATTTCACATGCTTCCAATCTACAAAAGCTCACTGTCAAGGTATAATATTTTGTCACTGGACATTTTCTTATCAGTATTTGACAGATTTCTTGGGGCCTTTAAAAAAATCTCAGAGGGTGTGAAGAAGACAAAAGGGATTAACACACTGTTTCTAAAAGTTCTGTATTGTTGATCCCCCCCATGATTTTTGAGGGAATTTGCTTCCCACTGTTTACAGTTAGGATGGTAATTTGTTAAGAGAGAGTTTGTGTGCAGTCCTGTAATTGTTTACTTTAAAGCAAATACTGTATTTATGGCCAGTTGTGTGTGGGTAGGATATGTGTTTCGGGCTGCAGCCCTATGTATGCTTGCAAGTAAGACCCACTAAGCATTTTGATACTTCAGAATAATCAAGCATAGGGTTGAACTGTAGAGCTTTATTTCAAACATGATTGTTGAAAAGCAAATGGGTATTTTTGTTTTCCAGGTAGAACTGAAGGGTAGTGCAAATGATTATTACAATGTGCTTCCTAACAAGAGCCTGGAGAAAGCTTATGTAGAGAATGGCAAGAAACTTGGCATGGATTTTATTCCAGATGATAATGTTAATGGGCTGTCAGGTAATAATAGCACATCTGTGTGTTCATCTTTCATGTGCACATTCATATTCCTCCAGGATACCTTAATTTCTTTCCTTTTCCTTTTTTATTTTTATCTTTAAAATTTATTTATTTATTTATTTGGCTTTTACATGTTTTACTGGCTTCATTCTTACTTGTTTTATGTTTTATCTTCCTTACTGAAAAAGGCATTTCTGATGGTGTAATCAGTTCACTTGACCAGTTTTTATATTTTATAACAGATATTACTAGGTCAATGCAAAGTACTGATATAATCGTTTTTCAAGGGATAGTGAAACTGAGCTAATATGGAACTTGAAATGCAATGTAAAAAAATAGTATTAAAATTTTAAAATTCTATCACAAGGTCTGAAAAACATGCTTGAAATTTTTGTCTTTGACCATAAAATATTTTCACATGTAATTTTCATCTGTTGTAAAAACAACAAAAAGTCTTGTGGTATTGTCCATTCTATAGAATAAAGTGTTAAGACAAAGGTTTATATGCCCACTGTTTTCTTGTAATAGGGGTGTTACAGCAGCGAGAAATGAGATAATAACAAATTGTGTTGTACTATTCACATTGGTTATAAACATTCAAAGGGCTGGTTGACATAAGCATCCTGGAAATAGTAAGATTGGTTACACAAGTCATTTACCTTCTGTAATGTTAAAGTGATAATTTCCATCATCAAGAGAGTGCCAGTTTCAGCTGAGCCCGAAACTAACCTGTTACATCTCATAGATGAAAAATCATTTAAACAGATGAAAAATCATTTAAGCTATACACAGTAATATGAACAACCCTAGAGAAAAAAATTCACCGAAAATTAACGAAGACTCAGAACAAAGCCAAACTAAGTTTGCACATGATTTAGAAGGTGCTCTAACGAACCCAAGCATTTAAAACAGTTGCTGACTTTTCGTTAATTTTTTGTGAATTTTTTCCTCCCCCATAGGAAACAATGGAGCCCAACTTTTGACAGCGCCATTGTTTCCTGTGGGGGAGAAAAAGATTCACAATAAATTAACGAAGACCCAGAAATGCTTGGATTCATTAGAGCACCTTGCAAAACCTGTGCAAACATAGTTTGGCTTCGTTCTGAGTCTTTGTTAATTTTTTGTGAATTTTTTTCTCCCCCATAGGAAAGCATGGAGCTGTCAAATTTTGACAGCTGTCAAAAGTTGGTGGGGGAAAAAATCAGCAAAAATTAACAAAAAGTCAGAACAAAGCCAAATTAAGTTTGCACCCGTTTTAGAAGGTGCACTAACGATTCCAAGCATTTAAAACAGTTTTTGAACCTTTTAAGACACACTTAAATTTGCAAAAATGGTCATCGCAAAACCATTGAAATGCATTGAATAGGCTTCAATGCATTCCAATGGAGGAAACATTGTATCGCTTAACGATGTTTCCCATGGGTTTTTTCGCTTAAGGACGGCAATCCGTGCCTATTGGAACGGATTAACCGGTTTTCAATGCATCTCTATGGGAAAATGCATTTCACTTAATGATGTTTTCCCATAGCGATGTTTTTTCTGGAACCAATTAACATCGTTAAGCGAGGCACCACTGTACTTCTTTTCAGAGCAAAGTAGGGTTTCCACTTTCAATAGGAAGTATTCTCAAAATTCTACTATATAGCATCATTGTAGACCAACTACAGTGGTGCCCCGCATAGTGATGATAATCCGTTCTGGATAAATCGTCGCTATCCGGAAACGTTGCTATACAGGGCAAAAAACTCCATAGGAACGCATTGAAACCCCTTCAATGCATTCCTATGGGGGATAAACTCACCATTATGCGAAGATCTTCCATCCGGCCGCCATTTTCGCCACCTCGGAAAGCGAGGAATTGGCGCGAAAACGCTGGGGGCGGCCATTTTGTTGACCTGCCGGCCATTTTGGAACCGCTGATCAGCTGTTTTAAAACATCGCAATGCGAAGATAAGCGAAACGCTTACCGATCATCGCAATGCAATGTTTTCCCTATTTAAACACCGCAATGCAATAACTTTTGCGATCGCAAAATCCGCCTCGCTATGCGGATTCGTTGTTAAACGGGGTGCTCATTATGCGAGGCACCACTGTATTTATAAAGTTTCATTGCTTGGCCAAAAACCTTCCTTTCAAAAAATCATGTTCCCATTTATCCCTGTTATGGGCTTGTCATCCCTTTCGGTGATTAGGGACTAGAGTTGTGTTATCCAATTCATACTCTTTCCCGACAACTTTGTTTTCTTTGTCTAGCCCTTGCTTTGATCTCTTCCCTTTTGCTTTCTTCACCCATTTCTTGCACTGAGTAAGGGTTAAAAATCATGTTAATCCTGACTTTTGGAACACAATGAGTAAATACATGAAATCACATATTTCCTGAGGTCCAACTCCAAACTGTTTTATTGCCGCCTTGGGTCCTTTGAAGGCGAAAGGTGGGACAGAAATATTTTAAATAAAAATTAAATTTGTTTTAAGTGCATAACTCTGTACTAAGTGTATACCTTTTTTGGTGCTATATTTGAAACACCGATGTATGTTGTCTCTCCATAGGTTCCACTGACTTTGGAAATGTTACTTTTGCACTTCCTGGGATTCACCCTTATTTTTACATTGGCTCTGATGCACTGAACCATACTGAACAGTACACAACAGCTGCAGGTTAGTCTGGCTGGAACATGTGAGTGTGTCCCACAAACTTGGGGAAATATTGTACTAAAATTGCAGGGAGATGCTCTCTTATTTAAATTTGCATCCCCTTTCTCCTTTAAGGTGTTCACAGTTCTATATTGACTTTGCAGTATACTCCTGGAGGTATACAAATCAGTTACAGCCAGGAGGGGTGGCTTTAATATTAGGACTGATAGTAGATTTTCCAATATTAAAGGCTCCCCACACCTTTCCAAGACTATCAGAGACCTCTCAAGGGCAAATGGGATCGGCAGGCAGCCTCAAAAGCTGTCGCCATCTCAATGTTTTGGGCTACAGTTTTCATAACCGCTAGTCAACCTGGTGAATAGGAGAGCATTAGACTGCCAACCCCCGAGTCAAAAGAGTATCCTGTGAGTCATTTTCTGCTCACAGAAACCTTGGGTCAGTCTCAATTTCTCCTAGATACTTAGCTTTGGGAGGCATGGAAAGTACACACCTGTACATACAGCTTCAGTATCCTTAATTTGCACTGCAATTTTAATTCAGCTGTTTTGAAGAGAAATACTGTAGTGTTTACAAAGCCCTTCTGAGTTATGGTATGATATACAATAATTTTTTCAGTCTTTAAAATCTGAGTGAGATATTACAGCCTGCTGTTTTCCCATTTTTTGTAGCTGAATAACAACACAATCAACTACTTGTCAACTTCAAAAGTAGTGATCCTGACAATATTCTCTTGCCCTATTTAGGGCTGCATTTAAAGATGGAAGAGGGCATTGTGTAACTATGGGATAAAATCTTTCAGTAATAAAATGTTCTTTGCCATCCAGCTGTATTGGTTTTCCAGTATATTCACTGTAGCTGTTTTATTCTCATTTATTCTCACATATGACATTAATTAACTCTAGGGTCAGAAGAAGCTCAGTTCTATGCCTTGCGGACAGCTAAAGCTTTGGCCATGACTGCTTTGGATGTCATCTTCAAGCCAGATCTGCTGGAAAAAGTCAGAGAAGACTTCAGGATGGTGAAACTGAAAGAGGAGGCCCTGCTGAATATCCCTGAAAATGGAAAACGTCCCAGCCTTGGTATTGGAGCAGCATGTGCATCACACTGAAGTAGCGCAGCGTATGACACATCTAAACTTGCAAAAAAAATTCTAGAGGTGGTCTGTGTGAATGCTAAGGCATGTTTAATGGCCGAAGAGATGCTGACATTTTGATTGGTGCAATTGAATGATGTCAGTGTGCTTCTGTTTTTTAAACGGGGACTCTCTGAATATTATGTAGCTGTCTTGACATGACAAAAAATCAAATGGTTTCTCTGTGGTGACTGAAAGTTTGATAAACGTTATTGCTTTACAAACCTTCTTGAGATAATTTTTCAGTTGCAAGTATGTTTGTCAAAAAGGAAAACTCAATTGTCCTCTTGGGAACTGTCATTTTGCCAAGGAACACTGAGGGGTATTGCATGTTTCGCTTACTGTGTGCAAAACCAAATGGAGCCAAGTCAGGAAGAACTAACCTATTTGATAAATCTGTATGGTTTTCAATTTATTTTTTTACTTTTTTTTTTGTTTTGTTTTGTTTTTGCAAAATGGATACCAATTGTTAGGTTCTGGTTGCATGATACTCACAGATTGTCTTGTTTGAAATGGCTTCTGTTCTTAGACTCTCACATTCTTGCAGGTGGGAGCTCTGTTTTACATGTACAACCCTTTCCCATTTTTTATTGTTCAGACATTTCTGGAAGACTAGCCATACAATCACTTGATGTTTCACTCATCTGCAGTCTCTTGAGCCCTTTTCTGCCTGTTTCTCCAATTATGTGTCTTTCTTAGTAGTTTTATGTAGAAAAGATGATCAGCATAGGTCAAAGCCTCCACACAAAATGAATTTTTGTGTATAAATTCCTAGTTATATACATTATACCATTTAAACAGGAGTATTAGGTGATCTACATTAGAAACTGAAGGAGTAGCTTGTGATTTTTTTCCCGCTTAAATATGTCCTATAGAATCAGATAAACCTTGTGCAAACATGCTACAGAATCATTTTCCTATATTGACTATTTATTCATTGGCAGAACTATTTTAAAACTGTTCATCTACATCCCTCAGTTATTAAGTGCAGAGCAAAGTAAATTGGTAGAGTGCAAAACTTGTTATATTCTAAATTTATATTATTTGATGAAATAGTATTGCTTATCATTTTATCAACTTGACCACCAGTTGCTGTGCAGTCTTCAGAGTGGTTATACTGCTGATACATGTGTCTGGTGACAAATTCTTCGGGTATTTTTGTACATAACCAAGTATCTTGGATAATCTTCTAATGCATTCAGTCCCAGTCTTGGGTCTCCAGATGTTCTTTGATTAAAACTCCCAGAAGCCTTCACCACTAGCTTTGCTGGCCAGGATTTCTGGGAGTTGTAGTCCAGGAACATCTGGGGACCCAAAGTTGGGAACCACTGTTCTAATGAATTTGTGAAGAGAGGAGGATGCTATCAGTGGCAACAGTTGCAGTACAGTGTCCTTTGAGGCGGGGTGGTGGTGAATAGTTATCTTTTGCCTTCCCCAGAACCAGTTCTAGAAAATTGTGAGGACAAACCCTGGCCAAGGCCCAAAGTTCAAAAGACATCAGTGAAATGGCTGCTACTAACTACTATTAGAAAATAACATGAGTAGTTATGACAGTGTAGAAAAAGGTTAGTTTAGCAAGTATTTTAAGCACTCCTGTGTTAATCTAAAGGAGCAAGCTGTAGAATATACCACTGTAAGTTCTTAAAAGTTATTTTCATATCCACTTTGTTAAGTAATCCTTTTGCAGAAGATTCTTAGTCACTACTTAAGAATAAGTTGTTCAAAATGCACTCTGTCTTCAGAGAGCCAGATGGGTGAACTGCAACTAAGCATATCTGCATAGGAGTCATCTGCTCAAAATTACAGTCTGGTAAATAACTTGCATAATTAATATGCTCTCTATAATACTTTATTGCAGAGCTTTAGCTACAGAAGCTGTGTTAAAATGAATGACCATTTTGAAAGGACAATATTGACACCTTTTCATACAAGGCTGTTAAAAGGAAATCCCAAAGGCGAGAGCTGTGTATTACTAAGCATTATTTATTACCACAAGGGTTAATTTGAAGCCCTACCCTACAGTTTATAAACGGACTAATTATCCATTCCCAAACATCAATTACTATTCTAAATGAACTAGTCAGAAGTTTGTTTTGTGCCAGATGTTAGAGTGTGCTAGATCTGAAGGTCTTAAGTGTTATGAAGGTGTGTTGATTTGAAGGGGCAGTTGAGGAGAGAGGTTTTACATTACGATCTCCAGAAGGTGGTGCTTCTTCAACCGGTAAATAGTTAAATCATGAAATTTACTTCCACAGGATGTGGCGATGGTCATTATCTGAGACCAGAGGATTTAAGAACAGATTAGACAAATTCACGGAGGATAAGACTAGCAGTGGCTACAAGGCATGAAAGCTACATATAGTATTTGGGTTCAGAAATAGCACATCTCTGGATATCAGTTAGTAGAGAACAAAAGCAGAAGAGGAAAGTTGTCTTTATGCTCTGTTCCTAGAGGCTTTTCTTTTCAGGAGCAACAGACAGTAGGAAGCATGGCATGGCAGAGGAGGATCTTGTGGATGGTGCAGAGGAGATGATGGTCAAATTTTGTAGATATCTCCAAACTGAGAGGGGTAGCTAATACCTCAGAAGGCAGGACTGAGATCAATGATTATCTTAACCCTTTGGAGAACTAAGCCAAAACAAAATGAGTTTCAATGGTGTGGGGGGGATGTAAAATTGTACATTTAGATGAGAAAAATCAAATGCAGAAATGTAGGATATGTGGTGGCTGACTAGGTAGTAGTACATGTGAAAAGATCTAGGGATCTTAGTGGACCACAAGCAAAACATGAGTGAATACAGTACTAGGCTGCATCAGCAAAAGTATATTATCTAAATCATGCCATCGAGTTGACTTCAATGTATGCTGACCCTTTCTAGAGTTTTCTATATAGAGAGTCCTCAGAAAGTGCTTTACCATTCCATACGTATTTTCTGGTGGCAGTCAATGACTAAACAGATTGCTCAAGGCTACACAGACTGGTATGTCTCTTGGGAGGCAGAGTGGTAAATCAAATTCTGAATCTGTGGCTCTGCAGCTGGTTGCCCAACTCACAAAGAGCATTTACCAGCAGAGTAGTAGTAGTACCACTATCTTCTGTTTTACTCAGACCTTTCCTGGTGTCAAGATCCTTCTCTTAGAAACTTGCCAGGAGACTTATTAAGATGGAAGGATACTGTGTCCAATTAAGTAGTGCTATCACCAGGCTGGCATATATCCAGAGGATGATGGTGACAAAAACGGTGAAAGGACTAGACACCAAGTGGTAGAAATAGCAGTTGAAAGACTTGGATATGTTTAGCTGTTAAAAGAACGTTGAGAGGTAGCCATCTTCAACTATTTAAAAGGCTGTAATCTGAAATATACTTTTTACAGCTTGAAAGAGTTAGACATAAAAATAATGGGTTCAAATTACAGTAAGAGCTATACAACGATGGAGCAGACTATATGGGAAGGTGGTGGACTCTCCTTCACTGGAGATTTTTGAGTAGGAATTGGATGGCCGTCCAACAAAAGATGCTTTAGCTGCGGATTTTCTACTGTGGAAGGGGGTAGACTTGTTGACTCTTCAAGTCCCTTCCAGTTCCATAATTATGTGATTCTATTTTTATTTTATTTTCTATATGCTCAACTCTGTCCTACATAATGTAAGTCAGTGTCTATTTACATGACAATTCACTTTAGCAAGAACCTCATTTCCATCACTGAAGTGAGCCTCTCCCAGAGCATGGTCACTGCAAGAGTTTACCTGCTATTTATAGAGCAATTAACAAAGAATAGTGCAGTGTAAATGTGTTTCCATTTCTTTCCATTTCTGACTGAGGGAACGCAGCCATGTTTTCTAGTGCAAATACATGTATCGAGAGAAAGACTGCAATTCTGGGATCTTCTATAGCAAATTTTCCTGGTTGACTGGATTGCACATGTAAGGAATTTAAAAAAATGAACTGTAGTATCGAAATTTTCAGAACTGTTCAGAGTGAGTTGTTTTATTTTTCTAGCAGTTGTTTTCCTAGATGCTGTACTGTCTTGCACAGAAATGGAAATCAGACTGGCAGATACAACTGTCAAATGTTAATTTAAATTTAGCTGGAAGTTACATGTTAGAACATTCCCTTTTTAAGACCTCGGCAGCTCTAAAAAGGGAGATCTTAATCTGACAATGCTGTATCGTATTTATCTCCTTAGATTGCCTTTATCTCATTAAACACCATTTTTATAAGTGCTGCTCATCTTTTCAGCAAACTTTAGGAGTCTCTTGGAAGGTGGCACTTCTCTGTGCAGCAGCCCAGCAGCACGTGGGGGCTCATAAAGCTCCCATTAAGCCCCCCCCACATTCAGTCACGTACATTTTGCTTCTCACCAGAGGTGAACTAAGTATTTTGTTGAAATGGAAGAGTGTTTTTGTTTTTGTTTTTTTTAATCAAGTCACGTAAATTGCTTTATAAGCATGATATGGGAACAGTCCTAAATTTTTTATCTAAGTATGCTTTAAGCTACCTGCAATTTCCAGGTGTTTGAGTTTCACAAGGTGCTAAAATGGCAAGGTTCCCAGGTAGCAAAAACTGCTGTTGTGTCCAATTAGGTCTCGATTGAGTTACAGTGGGCATGAGGCTCTGGATGACAATTCCAAGCAGTATTGTGGTCATTACCTCCGTATCTCTTTTCTTAACAATGGCCCAGTTCTGGAAGGTGGTGATTTCACAAATTCTTATGTTATCATTTAGCTCAGCCAGAAGGAGGGGCTAAACTCCTGCCCCCTGTTCTGAAGTATACCTTCCCAAACTTCTCATCGTATCTCAACAAGAAAGTAAAACTAGGTGTAATGTAAAATCCTGTCTTATCAGTAAGTGAAGATAGTCTCTCCAACAGCTTTTCTTTTTAAAATGTCATTTTAATTTTACTGAAGATGTTTATAAATACTTGACAGCTATGTGACAGATCAGAAGTCTTGGAATTGTCATGAAAAGAGTACAAAATGCCTCTCTTTATTTTCACTGTGCAGAATAATCAGACAAAAGAACAGGAACATATAGATGGCACTGACCTCAGTTTAACAGGGCTGATGTGTTGCTTTAAAAGGTTGAATCTGTTACAGCTCCAGCTTAAACAGCAAGCTTGCATGGAGACACTGACCCCTGAAGATGTTCCTCAAACACTTTCCATGGCATTCTAAAGGTTTATTGTGAATGCTGGACCATTCATTCATGTGCAGTGTTAGCATGCTAGCAATCTGTGACATGGAACATTTACACCTGCAGTGGCCTCCACATGCTGTGGGCCTGCTGCTGTCAGCACGTCTCACTACTGGCAGTGTGGGCTAGGGCTGATTGCAGTTCTAGCCCAACTGTATTTGTAGAGCTATTCTTTGCCCACTCCAGTCAACATGCCAGGTGGTTTCGCACAATCTTGACATGTTGAAATTGAGGAATGGCTAATGTGAGATGGTGCCAATTCAGTGCCTGTTGTAGCGGAAGGGATTGTCACTCTCGAATTCACCTTCTCAGCCACACTAGATGCTTTTCCATGGTCGTTACCATGGTCTCTTGAGACTGAAGGATGCCTACATATGTAGGGTATATATAGCCCCAGCCCATAACCATGAGATGGTTTTGCCTTTACTGAGCCACATAGTAGGCAGGAGTGCCCGGCATCCCTTGTGGCATTTATGGCACTTGTACTATATACAGTATTCTGAAGTCCTTGGATTTTGGATCCTGAATTGGCAAGAAAATATGACTGTTTCCAAGGCTTTACTTAAAAATATGAATTTACAGCAGATAATTTTTTTTTCTTTGTTTAAGGATGCAGGACACACATTTTTACAATAGCTTTTGCCTGCCAGGCTGTTGTAATGGTGTATATGTATACTTCATAGTGTTTTGGCTATTGCCACTCTACCAAAATTTGCATGTTCTTCAATATAGTTTAGCTCTGAAAAATAAAACTCATTAAAATGTATCAATGCTTGATCGTGTTTTATTTGGACAAATTAGTAGCTGCAATGCACAAACATATTTCAAAAGCTTAGGTGATATCTTTTTCTTCTTCTGAAGATCTACCTTTGCAGTGAATGTTTTGCTGTGATTATTTCTGCTATACAGAAGAATAGGCACTGAAGGGGTACAATGTTTCCCTGTGCCATCTTTATATAGATTTTTTTTTCCATTTCGGAGAAACACTTGAGCATACATGTAAACTATTTATGCTGCTAAGCTTTCTTTTTTGCCTTTTTTAGTGAGCCACTGCTGATCTATCATTTTCATTTTGTATTCTGAATTGTACTGTTATGCTGTGTGTATATGTAGAAGTATTTGCTGGATTATTAAAATAAAACTATTGGCTTGTGTATTATGTAGTATCCATTATTCAGTAATAATTTGATATATATACATATTAAAATATGAGCGGGGGGGAGACAGTATTGCCAGCAAATGAGATGCACCAACTTTGTTTAAGATCATAGAAATCTGCTGAGTTTATGCGATTATTCAGCTCAGGAGTACTCTGCAGATCCGTATGTCTGGCTATCACGGTATACCTTTTCCTCTGTGATAGCTCATGGTTCCATCAGTCTTGACTAGCCTGTCAGCTTTCCTTGCAAAGTCTAGAGAGGCACACAGGTAAAGATGTCTAAGACAAAAGAGGGACCAGGCAGTAACAGTTATGTCAACATACTCATTTGTCTTGAGATGTGAATGTTTCACAATTACTGTAGACTGTTTTCAGATTCAAAGAGGAGAAAGCTCAGTCACAGCTCTAAGGGGAATACACTGGAATGACCTAGAAGATTGCTCTTTCTCACATGCCCAATAAGCTGGATTCAGCAAGACAGACATTGAAAAGAACCTTTCCTACTTATCTTAATACTGTAACAAAGTAGCTTCACACAAGACAGGTTGTCTCAAAACAGTTACACTGTGGCATACTGAGAGCTTTAAATATTAAAATCAGCCCACCAAATAGTTGACAGCCAGTGTAAGTATTTCGGTGCTTGTGAGTGTGATTATGCACATGATAATTTACTTTGCATTTTGTGTACGTATTTTGGTCTGTGTTTCTGTACACTATTAAGAGTAGCTCCATGTAGAGGGCATTGCAATATACAGTAATTGATGTAGCCAAGGCATGCTTGAAAACACCAAACAAATGTGCACAAGCCATTATTTTATTTGTTCATTTGTTTAAAATATTTTTACCCCATTTTTCTAAAAATGAGCTTGTTGGGTTGTTAAACGTGTCAGTGATTGAGCTAGAACTATCAACATAGGTTTTGACTGAGCATAAACATAACTTGTACCTTTGTACTTGCTGCAAAAAGGAAGCTCTGCAGAGCTCAGGCCTGAAAAAACTTGGGGAGTATACAAAGGCACTGGGAAGATAAAAAAAACTCTTGGGATTACGCCTGTGAAGTTTTGAGAGCAGCATTTGATCAGACTGGGCAGCTTGCCAAAGAAAGGGATTTGCAGTAATTTATTAAATACTCAGCGACATTCCACATTGTCAAAGGTTAACTGCTGCCTGCTGAATATTGCTGCAAAAAGCTCTTTTTATATCGTTTACTGACATTTTCCCCCAATAAAAATGGTGTTTCATATAATTTTAAATACTTCTCCGTGTCTTTATATTTGGTTGAAGCTGCTTAAAACAGAACAATCATAAACCAGAATTTCCTGGATGTTGAGTTTAAGACCGTTTTTTGCACTCTCCTCTTTCACCCTCATTACAAGGTTCTTTAGTTCCTCCTCGCTTTCTGCCTCGCTTTCTGCCATAGCAACTAGCAATAATATTAATACTAAACACAGAGGCAGGTTATCTCCAGTATCCAACAGCAATGAAGATCTAACTTCATCTAAAGGACTGGCACAGAGAGCTTTCTGAAGGACAAGGAAATAAGTGCTACCTTATTGTTTTACTCGTATATTTTTCTTATATTGACACTTAAAATGTTTCGGAAATTCTGTTGTATTAACGTGAACATTGTGGCTTATTAAAGAATAACTTTGCCATTTCTGGAAGCCAGTGATGATTAGGGTGGCCCCCTGGCTTGATACTCTTTTATTGGCAGGCAAAGATTTTCCTCTAGGTGAACTGCATTTTAGCTGTGGATGTTATTTATAGCTTTCTGCTGTCGGGTTTTTGTGTTTTATAGTGTGTATTTTATGTTTTAAACAAGACAGTTTTTATCTGTATTTTCCAGGATTTGATTTCAGTTCTATTTCTGTTTATGTATTTTTATTTATTTTTTCCTGCAAAAGAGGAGAGGAAACAAATTTAAGAAACCGGGAGACGGATACAGATGGATCCAACGGGTTTCAGCACTATTTTTTTACAGGCTGCTTCTACTTCCAGACGTGCTTACTCGGAAATAAAAGGACACACTTGTCAATAGACACTCCTAGACCCCACATTACATCAAGCAATGCGTTTTCAACAACAAAAATCAGCACCTTGACCAACCGCTGGGAGCCGCTGTGGAGCCCTTTCACACTTCCTGTCACGCCCTTCTAACACTTAAAACAGGCAGGTAAAGGGGAGGGTTTGACGCAAGGCATTCTGGAGCGAGTCTTTTTGAGGCAACTTACGGGCAGTGCCAGCGAAGGGAGCGGCTCTAGGGAACTACTTTTCCCAGGAATCACTTCAGGGGAGGAGGCGGTGACGCCGTTGGGGAAGGCTATATATAAGCCCCGGTCGGCGGGACTTTGAATATTGTTTCAACAGGACACTTGCTTGGTGGTTGCTGCTCTCGCTGAGGAAGGCTTTTCGCGTGGCTGCCCCGTTACTTTCCCCGAACTGAAGTGAAGGGATGGAGGCGCGCTTGGAGGAGCTGAAGCGTCGGGCGGCCGAGTGTGTGGAGGCGTCGTCCGGGCGGCTGGGCGAGCTGAGCCGGGCGATCTGGAGCCGGCCGGAGCTGGCCTACGAGGAGCGGCAGGCGCACGACGCCCTGACGCGCTTCTTCGCCAGCCGGCCTTCCTCGCCCTCCTCCTCCTCCTCTTCCCCTTCCTCCCCCGGGGGGGCGCCTTGGTCGGTGCAGCCGAGCTACAAGCTGGAGACGGCTTTCCGGGCCGACTGGCAGTGGGACGGCGTGGCCGGAGCCGCCGCCGCCGCCGCTCCCCAGGCCGGCCAGCCCTCCTCCTCCTCCCCGCTGCCGCTGCGCCTGGGTTTCCTGTGCGAATACGACGCCCTGCCGGGCCTCGGTCACGCCTGTGGCCACAACCTGATCGCCGAGGTGGGCGCCGGCGCCGCGCTGGGCCTGAAGGGTTCCCTGGAGAGCCTCGGCCAGAGCCCCGCCGCCGCCGCCGGGCTCCCCCGCCCCGTCCCTGCCGTCAAGGTGAGGCCGGC